TTGTATTGTAATAAGAGTACATTATGATACCCAATTTTTAGAAACAAATTTGTGCTTTTCTGATAATTGATGCATTTGACTAAAAATTCAAGGCATTTAATGTTAGGGCCCATGTTTTGCACTGATTTCAAATAAACAAGAAGAATACAAAAAATGAGTTACGTTTTGTATTCTTAAACTGAAAAAAAAAAGTATTTATGAAGAGTACATATTTGTATTTGTATCTCAATCAAATGCAACCCTTCACTATTATAAATATAAATAATTGCAAATTTGAAAGATGTGAGAATCAATAATTTGTTCTAAATTTTTAAGGGAAAATTCCACTTTACTACCCTAAACTTTGGGGATAGTGTCAAATTAGTACCCAAACTTTCAAATTGTTGATGCCTTACCCAAACTTCCAAAAATTGTCAATTTAGTTCATACTATTAACAATTCATGGTGATAACATGTGCAACTTAAAATTTTTCAAAATGTCAAAACTATCCTTAAAAACAAAACACTATTTATTGTCACCTCCCATCTCTATCCCTTCCCCTTCTTTCCACCACCACCGCCACAACCATCGCAAGCGTAGTGCGTCATCTTCGGGCAGCGGTGCTTCCACTTCGTCATATCAGGTCTCACCACTTGCCAGGGTCGGCCCCTCCCGCTTCCGTTCTGACCTCAACTATATTCTTCCACAATTGTTGTTGCGACTTCCTGTGTCACTATGGCTTTGCCTCCACCTCAGCAGCCACATGTGGTGCTGTCGGGCGGGAAGGAGAACTTGGGTGCTCTCACTATGTTGGAAGACAGCGTAAAGAAACTCAAGAGACCCAATGCGTCTCTCAGCCTGACGCTTAGCAAGAACCAGATTGACTCCACCTTCGACCTCCTCGCTGACTGGCACTACGAGTCCTGCGGTGTTGTCTCCTTCTCTGGTCTCGAGCACCCCAAGTTCCGGGCTTTTCTTAACCAGGTGGGCCTGCCTTCGGTATCCCGTCGAGAGTTTGTGGGGTCCAGGCTCGATGCCAGGTTTGAAGAAGCCAAGGCCGAGCCAGAAGCGAGAATTAAGGACTCCATGTTCTTTCAGGTTGCATCTAATGGGTGGAAGCCAAAGGTTTTCGACAGTTATGGTGGAGAAAACGTGGTGAATTTGATAGTAAACCTCCCAATGGGACGAGTTTGTTCCAAAGGGCGTTGTTCACTGGCATATGTGGGAGTATGGTGCAGGGGAGATCCTTTAGGCACGGGGAGGATATTAATCAGAGGAAGTAGCAGTCGTACCTGAACTAAAACTCAAAGGTCATCATTCACAAGTGCCTAGATGTATGAGTTGGAGCCTCCCACGATGATAGGAAGCCGATCACGACCCATGACCGATTCAACAGCAAGGGAGGCCAAACAATAAAAGTTCAATGCTGTGAAGTCAACAGTAGGATGATGTGGGATGCCCTGGCCTGCTACTTCTCTTCAGTAATTAACCTTGTTGGTGACAATATCCAATTCCTCATACACTTGCATTTTATCAGAACTTACAATCTTAGTAGCGAAGCGGGTAGCAAAGTCAATGCAGAGCTTGGATTTTTTGATGCTCGAAGACAACCTTGTCTTTCGGGCAACGAATATTGATGGATTCCATTCCCATTCCGGTGCCCGAAAAATTTTGAAAGGGATTGAAAAACTTGCTTACAGGCAGGCTCAACGCCAAGTTTGTTAGACAGTGTATGCCCTTATCTCCAATCAGAATGATGTACATTATGACATTTATTCTAAATGAATAAAGTACATATTTGATTCATGTTATTATGGTGTGTTTCTATGTAATACCCTTAAACTAGACACATATGAGACTCGTGTTAGTTTAGAATCTTCACAGTCGTTGAATAGATCTGGGGAGATTTGTCCTGTCAAGGCTGACACTGATGTGCCGCCAAGTTGATTTGGGTGGCTTGTCTCAGTTGCCAGGGTGAAACCCGAGGTGCATGCAGTGTGGATTTTCTTGAAACCCTGAACCGGACTAGAATTCCAGTATTGCCCTGGACCTTGGATATTGATGGGCAAAACTGGAATGTTACGCCTGACCCCTAGACTCGATTATGATATTGCGCTAGGTGTCGGATTGGGCTATCTTTGATATGCCAACCAATGAGATCCTTAGACGGGGTCAAAACCTGGGTATATTGGGACAGTCCGAGAATTCATCTGAGTGGGTGATCATAGTGATAGGATCAGCCCCTTTGTCAGACAAAGGTAATAATCGGGAATGCACTCTCTCTGATGGAAACCAAAGTTGTTGGCAACTGATTTCAATCGTTAAAATTTGTTTTTGCAAAATATATTTATATAAAGATATATATATATATATATATATATATATATATATATATTACGGTTTCAAATTGTTTGCAAAATGTTTTAATTCCCGGGATCCATGTGAGTAGAGAGTGCAGCACTGTTTCTTGCAGTCGAGGGAGAGGACCTCTCTTGTCGGGCAGTGTTTGATCATTATGGGCTGAGAGGTTAAGTGTAAGACCATTGAGGGTAGTACCTGATGGGTTAATCTTGCATCTGCCCACAGTCCCTGGGTTTTTATAAGGTGGCTTGGCCCAGGGACCACTTAGTGTAAGTGTTGGGCCCGTTAAGAGCCCGTGGTGATGGGTTCAGGGGTTCACTGCCCATAACAGTGAATTCGGCCAGGCCTTGTAATAGAGGCTAGGCTGAACCCATGTGGCTGATGTGTAGATCAATGTTTGGGTCCCACGTCATACAAGGAAACCCAACTGGGCAGCAGTTTGGAAGGTTAGTGAGCACATGAACTTAATGGGCCTAAAGCCCAATTCGAACTAGTATAATTTGATTAGTTAGAGAAGGGGCGGATCTGGGATTTGGATCAGCATATAGGATAGGGAGTTATCCCTATCCACTCAGAGAGTCCATATCCAAATACATATTTGGATTTGGAAACTCCTAATAAGATTAGGAGGGCTGATCTAATCTACAGATGAGATAAGGGCTTATCCTTATCTCTTACAGAGAAGTCCTGATCCAAATACAGATTTGGATTAGGAAACTCCTAATGAGATTAGGAGCTCTCTTTAAGGCTATAAAAGGAGGAGGAGGGCGAACCTCCATTCAGATCAACACATCATTAGATCAAATTTCATATCACAGAAAGAGAGAAGACTGTGCCATCTTCTGCTCTTGTGCCATCTTCTGCTCTTGTGCCCTCCTCCTGCTGCCGCCATTGCCAGTTCGATCTCCACTGTAGGAGCGATTAAGAAGTGTTCTTGATATCAGTTTTTGGAGAAAAACTGATTTGAAGTCGTGCTCACATACCCTCCAACGAATTCTTGCTGAAGGATTTGGTTCTTGTGAAGAAACTGTTGATTCTGCTCCACCCTACGCTGTGTCATCTTTAGTGGAGCAGTCTTTGGAGTTTTCCTTGGGCGTGAACACCTTCATTGGGAGATATTGTTTCTTCGTATCAGGTATCTCCCTCTCCTACATTTTGGTTTCAGATCTAGTTTGGTTCTTGGTTCAAGATTGATCATTGAAAATGCAGATTTTCTAAAACAGGAAATGTGATTCTCAGATGGGAGAGGTAGAGAGAGAGAGAGAGAAATTTTTGAAATTTCGCCCTATCTTCCTGCAGGGCTCGGCCATCCATATGATGGATCTCTCACTCCTTCAGTTCGAAGAAGCCAAGGCCGAGTTGGAAGAGAGAATTAGGGACTCCATGTTCTTTTAGGTTGCGTCTGATGGGTAGAATTCGATGGTTTTCAACACTTATGGTGGAGAAAACATGGTGAATTTGATAGTAAACCTCCCTCAGTGGAATGACTTTGTTCCAGAGGGTGTTGTTCACCAACGGCCCCATTCCATCCAAGTACGTAGAGGGGATCCTCTAGGAGATGATCACCGGCATATGTGGGGTGTGGTGTTGTGCAACGAGATCGCAGACTGTTCTGATAATTGATCGAGACCTACCCATGAAAATTAGATGATAGGTGAATAATATTTTTGTCCTTTTATATGATACTTAACTCGGACCAACTTGACACTTTTTGAAAGTTTGGGTACTATAGTATACATTTGAAAATTCAGGTACTAACTTGACACTACCCCAAAGTTTAGTGGAGTTTTCCCAATTTTTAATATACATATATGTCAATGTGCCGCTGAATACTATCAAGAACACAATAATTAGACTATTTTTGTGTAATAAGATTCTGTGATTAAAAATAGTTACCCTTTTAGGTCCCCTTCACTTTTTGGTAAGTTACTTATTCGGGTAAATACATTTACCAATACTTACATTTACCCCGTACAGAAAATATTTATTTGGGTAAGTGCATTCACTTATGTTCTTTTATTTCCCATGTAAACAAGACAATGACCATTTTAGCCATAAAAATCCACTATTACAATGGGCATTTTTGTCCCATTCAAGTATTGGCAAGCTAGTGGCAACTTTCCCCCAAGGTGGGAGTGGAAAAGTTATTTACCCACCTTGGAGATGGGTAGAAAAATAAACTTTCCCTGGTCCCCACATAAATCTAAAAAAAGAACATGGGATTCTTGGTCAATGAGAATCAACTTTCTCATTGACCAACTTTCCCCCTCTCAAAATCCAGAAAAAGAATGCCCCCTTAGGGTAAAATACAAAAGCCTCCCTTTAAGTTTCTGACAATCATAAAAGCCTTCCCTATAGTTTTACTTTAATAAAAATCTCCCCTAAATTTTTAAAGAAATCAACAATCTCCCTTTCATCATCGACTTAGATGAAAAACCGATAAAATTACGGAATTGCCCCTTTCTAATCGTCAAGGTGTCATTAATTGCTTCTCCCTCCCCCGCTCTCAACTTGTTCTTTGTTAGGTTGAAGTTTCAAATGATCGTGATCTCATTTCATTTTTTCTTGGCTTTGTTTTTGTAGAAGGAGAACAAGAATGAAGGCAAGAAGAAGGTTGGCGGAGGGAAAAGGGATGATGGTTCGATTACCGTGGTCTTGAAGGTTGTTGATATGCACTGTGAAGGTTGTGTTAGAGATATTACAGCTGTTAATGCCATACCTCTACGTTGTGAAAATAAGGCTGCTTTATACATCGCAGCAAATCCATTTTTTCATGAGCGTAACAAAACACATGGAGACCGATTGCCACTTTGTTAGAGATCATGTTCAACAAGGAACCATTCGTCCACAACATTTACCTAGGTACAATCAGCCGGTTGACTTGTTTACTATAGCTCTTAACTCTGATCAATTGCATCACCTTTTATCCAAGTTGGGCATTCGACTACTCCATGCTCCAACTTGAAGGGGGTGTTAGAGATATTACAGCTGTAAATTAGTTGTACAGCTGTCATTTGTTACAACGAACTCCAGGCTTAGGTGTCAACTGTTAATGGGTTACTCTTCTCCTCCAATTGTATTTATAAAGACCTCATTCAATGAAATCGGGCATTCATTCTTCTCCCAATTGTTGCTCTGTTTTCGCGTCTGAACCAGTTTTATAGGTTGCGCCAAGAAGGTCAAACGATCTTTTAAGGGTTTCGAAGGTACATCAAAAACATTAGAAATAATCTTTCTGTTTCTCTTGTCATTGGTGTTAAAAGTAGCACCTGTAGCATCTTTCCACAGTTCCATTTCAAATTCCTTCCGTTTTTCTAAGTATAAACACACAGGTCAACGAGAAAGAAGCAAAATCTGTTTCCTGGTTTTTTCAAAATTTTTTCTTTCTTCTTTTGGGATTTTACAGAATTGCTTTAAGATCGGGATCCATTACTCCTATCTCTGCTGATTTAGTTACAAAATATTTTGGGAAGAAGTCGTTTTGGTTTTTCAAACGAGAGTTATTTGTTTTGATTTCCCCTTTTCTTATAAAAATGTCTTTGTATTTAGATTTCGCCGTTGCTTTGACTTCTTGGTGCGTATTAGACACAACTCTAGTTTCCTACTTCACTTAAGCTGCTTTATATCTCTTCATTTTCTTACATTTAAGTTTTAATCATCTCTTCATTTTGCTGTTGTGTTCTATGGTGGATAAAGATATTGAAGACGTCAAAGGTGACAGTGGCAACAATAAGCTAACCGTGGTAGGGAAAATAGACCCACTGAAAATTCGAGAGCGAGTAGAGTAGAAGATAAAGAAGAAGGTGGAGCTCATCTCCCCATACCCAAAAAGAAGACAAGAAACCATAAAAAATGCAATGAAGAAAAGAAGGAAGACTACAAGAAGGAAAACACTATAACAATTGCATAGGGGTTGAAGGTCATGAACGGTAATGGTGTTGCATACAGAGACTTAAACACGGAGGATTTAATGACACTCTGACGGTTTTGGTATTTTGAAATATTTTAATGACACTTTACGATTTAATTAAGGATAATTTTGTAATTTTAATAGTTTTCTATCTCGGATTCTCGATCAATGATGGAAGGGAGATTTTCGTCGATTTCCTGAGAAATTTTTATTAAAGTGAAATTAACCTTTATTTATGACACTCTTTTTCTTTTCTATTTTGTCTTTTTTAGGACAATGTTTAAATATAAAACAATATACTTTTAAAAAAGTGAGTTCAACTTTGAAGTTTGGAACTTTGAGAACCTTTCCATGTAACGATGAATCAGCCACAACAGGAACAGGCTAATGGGTAGTACTAGTAAATTACTTTTGGGTCCTCAGGCTGTGAGTTGAATTTCTCTGCCTGCCCTGCCTGCCTCTTCACATGACACAAGCAGAACAAAACTTGAATTTTGATTCAGTTGTCATAGTCAACAGAAACGTACAATTATCCTTAATTTCGAAAAGCAAAGAAAAAACGTATGAACGGTGACGATTTGTTGAGCATCATGTTAATGGTTTTCAGCCGTACATAAAAGAAAAAATTCGCATGAGTAAAAAGCCAGACCAGCTGTTGGTGTTTTCCACTCCGGGTCTCAGCCAACTATTTATTTCGGATGGTTGAGTCAAGCAATCTTCGCCCATTTTAGATGGTCGAACCAATCAATCGGTTAGTAGCGTATCGACTTTCCAGTTTCCAGGTCCCTTCTCTGTATGTTGATACGGGTTGAATAGTTAAACCGGTTATTTGATACGATAGATCAATATATTCAAATACGGATATAAAGTTAATGAACCCATTATTATCACACATGACACAACAACGTGAGAGTGAGATGGCCCTCCCTAATTGAAATCATTAAGAAAAGCCCATTATTTGTCGCACAACATCAAAATTGTACCGTACATGTGAGATGGGCCATTGGGCCCACTTTTAAAATACTGGCGGCAACAATTCCTCCCTGTTAAGTTCTGGAAAAATACAATGAAGATAGATATGCAAGCTATGCACCACGACTGGCGACTTGGCGAGTGCCGAGTGGCGTGTAGTCTTGTTTTTGCTTTACTAGGAAAGGTGGAGACAAGAGAGAGAGAGAGAGATTAGAGATCGAAACCAGTACTACTACTCTGAGACTTCGGACACTAGCTTTTTTTCTCCTTTCCAGCTCCCTCCAAGGTTAGGGTTTCCAACTCTTTAATTCAGCTTTATTAACTTTTTCATCATTTTTTTTAATAAAATCTCCTGAAATTCAATGCTGCAATCTTCGTATTTATGCTCGTCATGCTTTAGTAGGATTCCGGGGATCTTACAGCAGCATTGAATATGGAGATATCCGTAGCTGCAGAAGTCGGAAATTACTTTTTTTTTTTTCTTTCTTTTTTGTCAATGTACACTTTTTTAGAATGATGAGTATGAACTATGGAATTTCTTTTATTGATGCCTTTTTGTTCTGAGGTTCGAATTGGTTTCAGTGGTTCTTTGAGTTTACTTCTGTTTCCAATTTGGAGTCTCTTTGTCTATTAGCTTCTTCTTTTGGCAACATTTCTTTTTTCATTTGTTTACGTCTAACTTTTTGTTCTACGAGGCAGCAGCCGTTTGAATTGCCACGGCGTAGTCGAGATCTGTAACAGTTTTACATCGTCATCATCCTTATCATCTCATTCTTACTTTACCAGTTTCCTTTGCAGCTGGGAACTTTGTTGCAGCAAGAGTTCAACTAAAAGTTTGAGTTACGAGACTCTGAGTAGGAGGATATCGGTGATGGACCACTTCATTTGGGAGACTTACGCAAGGGTCTTCTTCGGGATGATCGTCATTTTTTCAGCACCCGTTTCTGATGGATACACTATTCCGAGTGACGGTAAGCAGGACTCGGTATTCACACAGTGTATCCTTATTTTTAGTTTAGATTTGCAGAATCTGTAAAGGTGCCTATTAGTAGATGAATTTCACAGTTGGATTTTTATTCCAGCATTTGTGATGCTCCACTTCTCTTTAATGTTTTGGGTTTTCGATGTGTTTTTTCCCCTCCCAATTGTAAATTTCTTGAATTGATAGAAAGCTCTGAACGATATTATTGTCCTCTTTCTTCAGTTGGATTTTTTTTTTATGAATTCTTCAGTTGGATTTTTATTCCAGCATTTGTGGTGCTCTACTTCTCTATAACGTATTGGGTTTTCATGTGTCCCCCCCACCCCCACCCCCAATTGTAAATTTCTTGAATTGATAGAAGCTCTGAACGATATTATTGTCCCCTTTCTTTTTAATGTGGCAGTTTCTGCAATAAATAGCTTATATACTGCACTTGGCAGTCCTCCTCTTCCTGGGTGGATTGCTAATGGAGGCGATCCGTGCCTTGAGGCTTGGCAAGGTGTTCAATGCGCTGATTCTAACATAACGGCAATGTATGGTTATCCTTTAGACATCCTCTTCTAATGACTGATGATCCCGGAAAGTACCTTTTATTTGTTTTCTAATAGCTTCTTTTCTACGCAGAATCCTTAATGGTGCAAATTTGGGAGGGGAACTGGGTGAGAATTTAGGATCTTTTGTTTCTATTGCATCCATGTAAGTAATATCATTGTAATTCATTTATGATTTCATTTTCATCATTTTAAGTGTTTTGTATACTTTCATCCCCCACCATCACTTCTTCCTTTAACAATGATCCTTACCATATTATCAACTGATGTTTTGCCAACACGAGTATCCATGGCTGTCTTTTCATTCACTGTACGAATGCTTACCAGTTCTGTTGGCAAGCATCCATCCTGGAAATCTAATAGCCCGAATTCAGCCCTATTGGATGGCTAGGTTCTTCTGATGGGTTGACTTTGTGCCGAGTCCTGCCAGTATCTTGAAATAGCCTATGTATTTAGATACTCTTTTCCTTGATGTTCTCCAAATGAAATGAAAATTATAAATGAAGTAGCAAACTTCATTTGTGATAATTTTTTGAGAATTGCACTTATATGTAACGTTCCAACATGTACTTGAATTCCGATGTCTCTTTTTAGACACCTTTTTTTGATGGTTCGTGCTGTTGTTTTGTGACAGAGATCTCAGCAATAACCATATCGGTGGTAGTATTCCATCCAATTTGCCACTTACCATGAAGAACTTGTATGTTTTCACCCTGGGCTATCACTTCTGATCTGTTAATAATGTCATTTAAGCATAATCTTATGTGAAACATATGATTTTCTTCAAATGTGGCAGTTTTCTTTCAGATAATCAGTTCACAGGGAGCATCCCAAGTAGCTTAGCCTCTCTGACTCAGTTGACAGACATGTACAATTTCGGATTCTGTTTTGTTTAGTTTGAGGTTTACCTGTAGGAGATGTTATGTGATTTATGTACTAGTTTAAAAATTGAACTTGTTTCCTTCAGGTCACTTAACAATAATCACTTAACTGGAGAAATACCAGATGCATTTCAGTCTCTCACTGGGTTGATAAATATGTAAGGCTTCCCTTTGAATTTGGACAGCATTTCCTTTCCATGCTTACTTTTGGAGGTTCTCAATTTTTTATTTTTTATGACTACTTTTGATGCAGGGATCTGTCAAGTAACAATTTGAGTGGGCAGCTACCTCCCTCAATGGAAAACTTGTCGTCTTTAACAACCTTGTAAGTATTTCATTTTGATAAGGGCTCTTATTTCTAAGAAATTTCAATGCAATGAATTTGTGTTCTTGGTCTGCAGGCACTTGCAAGACAATCAGTTGTCTGGGACCCTTGATGTTTTACAGGATCTTCCTTTGAGAGATCTGTATTGTTCTAAACCACTTAATTAATTGAACTTTATTTTCTTAGGACCGTTTCTTGATGCATTTGATTACAATTTTGCCCTTTTGCCTTTATGACAGGAATATAGAGAATAATCTGTTCTCTGGACCTATACCTGATAAGCTGCTGGGTATTCCAAATTTCAAGTGAGTTCCCTGCTATAGACACATTTCATGTATTTCATCTTTAGGCAATTGTTATTTAAACATAGAAACAAAATTCACCCATGTATATGGATCTGCAAGTAGTAGTGAAACAAGGGCAAAGATATCCAAGTCATTTTCTACTATTGTGTGATGATCATTTATGACCTAGCTGGCAAATTTCCCGGCCTGGGAAGCTATTTTTCTTCTAGCCCCGGCATGGCCCAGACCCACACTAAGTCCGCATGTAATGCGGGCTGGCCGGGTTGGGCCTGGGTGTGGACAGCCCTAAAAATCTTTGATACCCTGTCAAAACCCGGCACAGATGGCCAGGCTGGCATTTTGTGTCAACATGCCTCTGTATCCAGTCCACCCCTCCCAAGACCCTAGATAGTTGGAACCAACATTAAGTAATGACCATTTTGCAATGGTAAAACCTTGGGTTGACAATCATGAGAGTGTACAGGCTCAACTTTGGGGACAGCCACTTTGTGCAAGAAAATGTCAAAGTTGGCTTGTATCCAGTCCACCCATTCCAAAACCTTGGATGGATAGGACCAATGTTAGGTAATGGCCTTTTATATTTAGAACCATTCTTATGTGTCAGCATGCTTCCAATAGTAGTTTTTAATCTAGCAGTTAGATAAATCTGAATGCCCTTGTTATTTTAATTTCCTTGTATTATATTTGGTGTATGTTGGCCTTTGGCTGTTTTCTTTCTACCTGTTTCCCATCCATTTTTCTTCAGGCTGTGGGGTTTACTTCACATCTTAATAAATTCTTAGTAGTGTTGCTTTAAAAAATATATTCGGAACAATTATTATCTCCATATGTTCTATGGTTGTGTTTGCATACTTAGCAAAAGCTTTTACAGTAATGAGGGAATGAATATGGTTGAATTAGTTTGTTAATTTCTTTTTTCTTGTGGCCTTTTGATATGTGTTGGATTCAATGCAGGAAGGATGGGAACCCTTTCAACACTACTGTTGCTCCATCACATCAACCTGCATCCCGACCACCCCATGTTTCTAGAGCACCGCCTTCTGAAGAAGCACGTGGGAAGCAGGCAAAGGGACCTACTTCTGCACCTCAAGGGCCTGATTCTACAAAAACAAAAAAGTTTTTGACAACTAAAAGAGTTATTTGGATTTCAATTACTGGGGTTTTGATATTTATTATCATCGTCTTGGCACTTGCCCTTCTTGCATCAAAATGTTGCAAAGAAAGGGAAGAGGCTGATATATTTTCCAAAAGACATGAAATAATCAGTACATATAAAGAGACGAAAGAGAAAGAAACACAGTCAATGGACTGGCCAAACAATCAGATGGAGAAAGGTATGTTTGTTAATATTGAGTTTCTAGTCTGGTTTTTAGTATATGTTATGTATGTATTTTCTTCAAGGTTCTGTTTTCCCCTTATACTAATAGGATATTGAAATACTTGTGAATAATTCCAAAGCAGTTCTAAGGCCAAGGGACGAACATGGGATAGACATTGGAAGGCTAGGAGCAGTCCCAAAAGCAAAGGATAATAGTAAGTCAGATATTAAAAGAATGGGTGAGCTTTCAAATCTAAAGGAGGATCATGAGATTGACGTGTCTGGGATAGATATGGTTTTAATGCCTCCACCTCCCCCTCCTGCTGAGAAGGTGATTGTGAACACGATTTTGCCCACTGCAACAACACTTAGGCCTCCCCTCAAAAGCATGAATCCTATTGCTTCTGTTAGCTCTTTCACAATTGCATCCCTTCAGCAATATACAAACAGCTTTTCTCAAGAAAATCTCATTGGAGGAGGTATGCTTGGCAATGCTTACCGGGCAGAGCTTCCTGATGGGAAGGTAAGGTGTTCCTGTTTCCACAGAAGTGACTAAATATAACTATCTAGAAATTTATAAGTGAACCCATGTTAGATTGATACTTTATGTTAGAGATCTTGTAAGTTCTAAGATAAATGTTATGGTAAGAAGTTTATTTCTCATTCTTAGGCTTCTTCTTCTAGCTTCCATAAACATCATGCATGCTTTTGATCAATGCTTAGAGAACCGGACTGGACATAGAACTGGAAAAGGGAGAGGTTTATGAGTCAGAAATTCAATCAGGGTCAAACCAGAGCTCAAATCGTGATGATGTGGCATATATGTATATATAATGCGGGCCAAGGTTCAAAGTATTGATACACCCCGATACAGCGGAAGGGGTTTATCGGTACTTTGAACCTTCCACCCTATTGTTTTAGTTTCTTTTCTTTAAAATTTAAAGGGGGCTGAAATTAATATATATTAATGTTTAAACAAACACTTTTTAAAAAAACCTGAAAACAATGTATTGGTACATACTGATACAATACATATTGGCTGATATGGGCCGATATGGACCATAACACTATATATAATATATTTTACAATTTATATCATGCTTGAATATGATGGATAGTGTTATGGTCCCGCGCGTAGGATCCCGTCACGGGTCGGCCACGGTGCGAAGGCACTGCTTTCCCTTGCGCCTTCCCCTTGCGTGCAGACCCTATTGCGGCAATCGCGTGGGTGATTTGTCCAAGAGATCACCCTAACTCTCCTAATGGGTGATTTGTCCAAGAGATCACCCGAACTCTCCTTACTCTCTTTCTTGACTGCGAAAAACTAAATGTTTTATTTCAATTCGCAGCTCCTTAAATAGGAGATTACATAAGAGAATTCCTTGTTGGATTCGGCTAGGCTAGGGTAATCCAACTTAAACTAAAACTCCTAATGGTAACACAACTCCTACTTAAGAAGATAAAATAAGACAAGGATAAGGGATAGGATAAGGGATAGGGATAAGATAGGGATAAGGTAAGTTGGCGGCGAGTTGGCTTGACGTGTCCAGATAAGGGTGGGCCCACCCCTATGAGTTGTCGTGTGGGCCCCGCTCTGCTGCTGCTGCTGCTGCCGGGTGCGTGCGCGCGGCTCATGGTGCCGTTGCCGCGCGGTGCTGCTACAGCGCAGTGCGTGCGCGCGGCTCATGGTGCCGGTGCAGGGCGTGTGCGCGGTGCGTGCTGCCATGCAGTGCGTGCGGTGCGCGCTGCTGCCTGGCGGTGCGTGCTGCGCGCCATGGTGCCGCTGCCGTGCGGTGCCAGGTGGGTGCTCGGTGCGTGCTGCCTGGCGGTACGTGCTGCTGTGCGGCCTACTGTGCGTGCTGCTGCCTATGACTGCTCCGCAGTGCGTTGCCGGATGGTGTGACCATAACATTACACCCCTCCCGGACTACGAGCTTGTCCTCAAGTTTGTGTTCAGGATACATGACTTGGGACTCTACAAATGGATCAAACGGTTGCACACTATTTCTCAGTCCACCAACAGTATGAACAACAGGGACTGCCCCGGCTCTCAGTGCATAATGCTGGACTATTTAATGCAGACCCCAGCCACCTTCTTTAGTTTCCAGCTCCCAGGCGTAACCATGGCTTACAGTGACTACACGCTCTGCTGCACTCAGGCCAGCCGCAAGGACATTGAAGTGTTCCCTACCTCCTGGGTCATATAATTTGAAGTAGTTTTGTGGAAGATCCACATAACAAAAATCACATACTGGACCACGACCCCGGTGTTTTATGTTGTGGATCATAAGATTGCACCGGGTATGCTTACAGTAGAGGACCTCAAGAGCGACCTCTATATCCTGCCCCTCCACCTTACATCTCTTGCGCACTCCTGTTTCTTGGATTTCTGTATAGTTACCATACGGTGGTGCCGCAACCATAACTTTATGTCCACGCCGAGCCAAGGCCTTCGGTAAAGCCCCAGCAACATCGCCAAGCCCA